TCTGGTCTCTCGTGTGACAATGTGGGGAATGCTGGGATGGTGGCACTGACGTAGAAAAGCAAAAACATCAGGATCTTGGGAAGAAGCTGCCTGGCCCACAGAGAATGCTTGTGGTAGCCAAGGCTCTCTAGAACAAGAATGTCACACACCTGGCACAGGTTCTTTGAGATATGTGAATGCAGGTCTTTGCTATGTAGGAACAAATGTAAAATGTTCTAAAGGCACAGTCAAATGGATACATCTTGTTCTTTGGGCGTATCAGGATGGGACTGAAGTCTGATGTCAGTGCTCACAGCAGCTCTGGTGCCTACAGCAATGTACGCACAGCAGCAAGCAGCTGAGTATGCACCAGCCCTCCAGAGCATCCACCCAGGTTCCAAGCTAGGCTTTGCAGTCCAAAACAAAGTCTGTGTTGCTCCAGGTTACTGGTAAAAGAGCTAGTTTGTTTAAACTAGTGTAGGTGTAGAGACATGAGCTTCAGACACACCTTGAGCTACTGGGTAGGTATATAATTTATTCTGTAGGCTGTACAAAGATGAGAACAATGTAGTCCTAGATGGAAATCTTTGTTCTGTCATTATTCTAAATCTTTATTCTGAGTTTGCTCGTTCTTGCATAATTCCCTCAGACTTTTGTAGCTTTAACCAACTCCACAGCACAGAGGTGGTGTCAGAGATAGCTGTACCACACCTCTGCAGCCCAGAGGTCAGGATGTGGCACTCTTGGACTCCACTAGGTAGAAACAGCCATATTGATGGCTACTGATTGATGGATACTGACCACGGTATTGGAAAAAAAGTATCATGTGAGTCAACAGGATATCAGTTTTCTGTTGCTTTCCTTCACGTGAGAAATAGAAAAAATAATGAAGTTGCATTAATTATTCAAGGAGAATACTCAGAGGTTTCCCACAGTTGGGTGTATCCTTCTACATTTCTCCACCCATCGTAAGTCACAGCAGTAGATCTTCCCCCACTCATGTTTTGCATTCTTCAATTGAACTACATACTCTGTCCCCTCAGAGATTAATGCCTCCATCTGAGGAAGCAGCTGAGTACGTGCTGGTGGTGGTTCTTTCATCATTAGCAAATGGGAGACTGTGGGAAGAGAACAGAATTTACATGTGTTGGATGTTGGCCTAAACATACTCTCACTGAATTCTGGACATTGGGAATGAATTGACAGAGCATAAGTACTTAATCAGCAAACCCCAGGAAAAAGATAATTGAGGAATCCTACTTTTAATTAAAATGCTTTTCAGCTGCCTTTGTTCCAAAACGAACAAATGTTTTGCCAATACCACGTGTCTGCAGAGTGCACTCCAAAGACCTCAAAACTGTGTCTGCTGCCAAGTGGCATTACATTTATTAGTTGTCCTTGGGTAGGTTTTTGAAATCCCTGTAGAAGTCTGAAATCTTTTCACTCGCCTGTTTGTGGAAGACACATTTGAGAGATATTCAACTGCTACAAATGTTTAAACTGTCTGTTCAAAGAAAGTGTCAGGCTGGTGTGTGCAACTTGGTCCTGAGCCTGATGGAGACCTCTGAGCACCTTCATGATTCTTATGCTACTTTGAGGTTCCAGTTATTCACCAGAAAGCTACCCAGTGAGTCTGCTTACAAACAAACTCAGTGTGCTTAGAATAAAACATAAAATGTCAGCAGAGAGGAGGCTGACTTCACCACCCTGCTCTGCATGTAGCTGCATGCAGAAAACTACCTCAGAGCCCACGTTTAATCAAAACCAGTTCAAGTTAAACGTTGTGGGTTGTTGTTGGGGTTTTTTTCACAGCCATCAGCACATGAGGGAACAAACAAGCACACGCAGTACAGAACAAAGAGCATTCATCAGGCTGATATTTTGGCCTCTAACTCAACAGCATTCATATCAACTTCCTCCTAGCACTGGGGCTGTGTGCCTGTGCTGTGCTAGGAAAGCAAAGGCAGGAACACCTGTGGTCACTAGAGATTTTCACCACAGGTCTTGCAAGAGTGCACTTGCTAACCACGCTGCCTTGGCTCTTGGCCAGGGAAGGGGGATACAAGATTTTTGCCTGCCTAGAAACCAGCTAAGATGCTTCAGAAAATGTTCTTCGCTTCCTGCCTCAAACTTTTGCAACTATTATGTTCTGCATTAGAGGCAGCAGCTTTTAACAACTGGCAAAATAAATTCCTGTGTCTGTCATTTGCCAAGGAGCTTGAATTTTTTTTCAAGTTTGATGATGTTTTCTGTTTTTACTGGTTTCTGTGTTAAAATTGGAATTAACCTCTTGTGACCGTGACAAAAGCCTGAAATTGTAGACCTTGTTGATGGCAGAGACCTAGAAGTGAGAATGAAAAGAAGTAGTTAAGCAAATTGTATTTTATTTTAAGTTTGTGGGGTTTAATTGATTTGTGCTGAAATCACACAGGTTCTCTAGTCTTGTTTTGGTTTAAAGGCTACTTTTCTAAACACTGCTATCAAATTCCCATTGAAAGTTCTGTTGAATTCCCTTATCACTTTTATAAACCTTACTAAGCACTAAATAACTGCTAGAATTTGAGATGCAAATTACTGCCAGTCAGGTATTTCGACTTGGAGATCTGTGTTTGGTATATCCTGCCCTTTTCCCAGCAGAATTTTAAGTGCAGGCTGGTCCCTGCAAGCAAGTTATCAAGCACCCAAAGGCAGCAGATCACAGGCCAGACCTCGAATCAGAGCCAGACCCTTGTGTACAAAGCAAGGCCTGACGATGTGAGGTGCTGCTTGTCCCTAATTTTTGCTGAGAACAGAGCTGGCTGCAGACACTGAGCGTCACAGCCCTGAGCACCCTCTGCACCATGTACCTGCAGAGCTCCCAGTGTGTGTTTGGTCTCGCAGGGCTGGTACAGGTCGATACCAGGCAGTTGTGTAAACAGCAAACGTGTGAGCAGGGCTGCGAGGCACGTTGTTCTCTCTGCGGCTGGAATATGCTGTTCTGCTTCGGAGCAGTTTGATAAGGGTGCAGGTGAACCGGAGAGGGTGCACACGCAGTGCAGCCACCACCCCAGCCGGTGGGGACAGACTTGGGCAGCCTGGGGTAGGAGATGGTGCAACCAGATGAGAGGTTCCTGCAACCGAGGGAATGAACGACCTGCCGGCCCAAACCAACCAGGCAAAACCAGTGAGTTACTGCCCAGTGAGACCACAGAGGGTGGCCCAGTGACACAGAGGGTGGCCCAGTGAGAGACAAGAGGGTGGCCAAGTGGGACAGAGGGTGGCCCAGTGGTACCACAGAGAGTGGCCCAGTGAGAGACAAGAGGGTGGCCCAGTGGTACCACAGAGGGTGGCCCAGTGAGACCACAGAGAGTGGCCCAGTGAGAGACAAGAGGGTGGCCCAACCCAGCACCAGGCTCGGGCTGGGAAACATTCCTTATCTCACCCGAACGGCCCCGTTTATTTAGCCGTACGGAAACACCCCCGGGACGGGCAGGAGCCCCCAGCACACGGTACAAGGGC